TGGCTGGCGGAGCCTTTAGCGACACTGGCGGATTTCTGAGCACAGCAACTGCGTCCACCTGTCGACAGACGATCCTACCCCTGGCCACCACCACCACCACCACCACTATCAGGGGACAGGAACTAAGAGGACCCCCACTTACTGCAGAAAACCCCTTCTTCCCACCGGGGCGTCAACCACTGGGCGGAGTGATTGGAGGAGAAAAACGCAGCACTGATAGCAATCGCATTCTATCGCCCACGGAAGTCGCTACGAACCACTCCCTCATAGCTGCCGTCACCGCTACCCCAAACACCTGTGACAACTGCAGGACTGACATTCCTGGAAGCTACACCGCAGTTAACGGCGATTGCAGTGCCGGTAGCACTACGGACTGTGTATTTAACCGGAGGGACCCCTCCTGCAAGGGTTCGTCCATATCTTACACGCCCTCTACGACCTCTACAACGGAACCCGTCTCGCCAGATTCGCAGAAACATCCCTACCTCGGCGTTGCCGGTAAGTCTTGCCTTTTTTGCAGATCTTGAAGCGCACTATCTTTTTCCTTTTAATGACCAATTATATTAGTTTAATTGATCAACTTCTCAGCCAACCTTCCCCACATCAGGCACCTAAAGCCAAAACAAGGAATATATCAAATTACTATTTTGACGTGATGTTGCTCTCCTCTTCCAGTTTATGTTTGCTCTAGGCTTGCTCGTTTGCTGTCGCTGGAACACCCCTCCAGCGCGCTTAAAGGGTTCTAACCCTCTACGGCCTCCTTTCGTGCAGGCCCTCGCTTGTGGTTTCTCATACTGAGTTTTACGGGCAATGTTCAGGTGCCAGAGGGCCAAATCTTGTCCTGACACTCCGCTGTGAAAAGCTTGTTCGTGAAACTATTTGCTGGCCGGATCAGTGTTCGTCCTATATTGTATAAGTATCTCGATCAACGCTGATTGAGGCTAACCGGTGGTGAGATACCAGCGAACTTCGACTCGATTACGCTTGTTTATGAACTGCCTGCGCAAAGTTATTCCGACATACTTCGGGTCCTGCAAAACACGGAGGTCAGGGATATGCATGGCAGAATGGAGCTGTCAATAAACTGTCTGTTTTGATCTTCGCCTGGTAATCCTGGCTTCGTTACATGTTCGTGATCCCAACCACACAGTCTAAAGCTGAGAAACCAAACATATGCGTGTCCGCCTTTTTTACCGAGAATATACGTATAGGCAGAAGGACATTACCGACAAAGATAAGGGAGACTAGGATGACCATTTCTGGTTTATTAGCCGTCGTCAGCCAGTCATAGCTAACCCCAAGTGCTGCCTCATATATTGGTGCCCCATCCGAGGTTCGAACCCGCGACCTTGTTAGTAGGAAGTCAACTGCTCTAACCACTGCGCTACGGGCTCGTTGTCCTGCCAGAAGGAGTACTAAAAATACAAGGGGGGCAAAATGGTCATTTCTGGTTAAATAGCCGTCCTCAGCCAGCCCTCGCAAACCGATGCTCGGATAACCTTGAATTCGAACTTGGACATTGAGGCTTCAGTCGAAATCTCATCTATTGATTCTGTTGTCCTGTCGTTTGCTTTCGCGAATATTAATTGCCATGAGCCCTTTACGGGACAAGCTCTGTCTGTCATGCTTCAAAACTTGGTTGATAACCCTTGGAGACAGTCACAGAGCGACCAGTAATTATCCAGGTAGGAGTACCGACGAAGAAGAGGGAGACCGGGATCGCCTATTCAGACCTGAGGTCAAGCATAATTTGATGGCTCGCATTTGTGAGCTCAGCCACTCATTTCTTTTTTTCTATAAGCCGTGACTGGCAAGCGCTCCAAAACCACAGTTAATATATCCAATCTCAACTGACCAGACAATGAGCCTGTCGGGCATTAGATGTCCAAATAACAAGTCGTGGTTTCGATCCTCGGCTGCTGCAACACCTGGGGTTGGATATGGCTAGCTGATGATGGCTGCTAAGCCAGAGATGACCATTCCAGTCTCCATTTTCCTTGCCGGTAATTTTATCCTGCCCGAATTAAATGAATGCCTCGTAGCGTGAACCACAGAGGCCTTGCTGTGTACCGGGCAGGGTCAGCTGCTTTTGTACGTTGATAAAACGTCGAACAACCACTTGGGTAGCCAGGTTCGGATATTTACGTAATAAATGCCGTTTAGCGGTCGGGTGAACGTTAATTAATGAGTATTAATCTGCCCCCGACCTAAACCGGAAAGATGACAGGCTCGTGGCTCAACGGTTAGGGCGTTTGACTCCGATCAAAAAGATCACAAGTTTGAGCCTCGAGTAGTGCACCACTCGGGGTCGGGTATGACTGACTGGTGACGGCTAATGAGTCAGGAATGGCCATTTCAGTCTCCCTTGTCTTTGCCGGCAAGATTAAACGCCGT